GTGGCTGATTTTGAAAACAATGAATTAAAATAAAGGAGTGGTAAACTTCCACTAAATTAAATGCTCCTCCTTTGTTTTTATAAGAAAAGAGGTAACATTTTCACTCCACCTCCTTTGGTGACATCTCTGTGGCCCTGAAATGCTAAATATCTAGCATGTTGTAGAATTTGACCACAAAAAGACTGCAGAAAAAGTCAGCTGAGATAGTTTATAGACCAATGGCTGTGGATTCAGAGAATATTGGGTGATTATAAAGGACATCTAGTCCAGTCCCATTGACTTGACCTAGGATATCCAACTACAGTATTGAGGATAGACAGATATTCCTAGAAAGAACTGTAAATTGCCCTTATGTATTTTCTTCTGCTGCTGTTTAGTTCTGCTTCAAGCCTTTAACTGGGGCGATAGGACAGCTGTACTCACCTAAACAGAGAAATCATAAAAGTTTGCGAATTGCCATGCTGTGACTCACATACACCAGGGGTGTTAAATTTGATTTCATTGAGGGCTGCATCAGGGTTGTGTTTGACCTGGGGGGGCGGGGCATGGCCGGGAGGGGGGCATGGCCAGCTCAAGGTCATTTGTGTCGGGAGCCCTTGTGGTGGCCAAGTGCTAAGGCAGGACTTCCTCAGACCCTCCCTCATTCTCCTTATAATCCCTTCCTTCCTTCCTTCCTTCCTTCCTCTTTTTCCTCTCCTCTTCATTCTCCTTTCTTCTTCCTTCCCCTCTTTCCTTATTTTTCCTTCCCATCTTTTTCTTTGTATTTCCTCTTTCCCTTTCTCCTTTCCTGTCCCTTCTTGCATGCTCAAATGCAAAAAGGGAATCATTTTCCGTTTGTTTTGCTAGCCCTCTGCCAGCAAAAACGGAGCTCGGGGAGGGGGGGGCGTGCACAGCCTTCCCGAGCTCCATTTTCTCTGGCAAAGGCACCGCGGGCCATTCCTTTGCTGTTTCCAGGGTGGCCTCGTGGGCCAGATCTAAGTACCCTGTGGGCCAGATCTGTCCCATGGGCCTTGAGTTTGACACCCCTGACATAACCTGCAAACAAGTAAACTACATGTCTTGTTTGTGTGAATTGTATGAACTGTCCAGGGTCACTCCTCAAAAGCTTTTCGGCGCATTTTTAAATGGATGAGCTGGAATGAACTTGATAGAATATCACCCTGAATAATCTTTTATTATTTATTTCAGTTTTTAGAGTAGAAGAAAACTTTTAATGGGAATTAAATCTCAGCTACCTCAAAGTTACAAGTGACCCCACAAAAACCTCTGAGCCTTGCCAATCCAGATGTCTCCATGTCTAGCTTTAGTCAGTCTATTACCTCAACCCAGTACTAGAAAGAAGTTGTTTGTGGAACTTTGGCACAATGCCAATATCAACTCATCCTTTCTCACAGTGGATTCTCATAGGTCAGGGAGGGATTCTACCAACAGTACCAGATATTGGTGTATCTTGGCTCACTCTTTGATCCAGGGGTCTCCAACCTTGGCAATTTTAAGACTTGTGGACTTCAATTCCCAGAATTCCTCAGCCAGCAATTCTGGGAATTAAAGTCTACAAGTCTTAAAGTTGCCAAGGTTGGAGACCCCTGCTCTGATCAGCATGTGGAATTCAGATGTATTCAGAGCCAGTTTGGTCTAGTGGTTAATGCACCAGGTTAGAAAGCAGGAGAAGGTGAGTTCAAGTCCCACCTTAGGCCATGAAAGCCATCTGGGTGACTTTAGGTGAGTCACTCTCAGCTGAACTCACCTCACAAGGTTGTTGTTGTTGTGGTGGGGGTGATATTAGAAGGAGGATGGTGAGTTGGTTATGTTCACCTCTTTGAGTTATTTGTAAACTAATAAAGGTTGGAAATACATATATAAATACATACGTAAGTACCAGGGGTGGGTTCTACTTACCTTTACTACCAGTTCGCAATGGGGCCGCATGCGCAGAAGCATTTTCATGTCAGGGTCAGTGGAAGGAGCTTCCTGCCAGTTTTACTACCAGTTCTATAGAACAGGTGTGAATTGGGGGCAACCTACAACTGGTAAGTCCATACATACATACATACTGCCTATGGGCATGGAAGTTCCATTCTTACCAATTATGGTTCATTAGAACAGTCCCTGGGGTATCAAATCTAACCCTCATCTGTGTAGCCCTGTCTGTCTCAATTTGGCAATTTTAAGCTGTGTGGACTTCAACTGCCAGAATTCCCCAGCCAGCTGGAGAATTCTAAGAGTTGAAATCCACACATCTTAATGTTATCAAGGTCAGAGGTGGTATTCAGCAGGTTCTGACCAGTTCTGGAGGACTGGTAAATACCACCTCTGACTGGCCCCACCCCCATCTATTCTCTGCCTCCCAAGTCCCAGCTGATAGGGAGGAAATGGGGATTTTGCAGTAACCTTCCCCTGGACTGGGGTGGGAATGGAGATTTTACAGTAACCTTCCCCTGCCACACCCACCAAGCCACACCATGCCATGCCCACCAAGCCACGCCCACAGAACTGGTAGTAAAAAAATTTGAATCCCACTACTGATCAAGGTTGACAAACACTGGACTAATTTTTTTAAAAAAGATTTTATCTGAGACATTTACCAGCTCAGTATATATACCCAGCCATTTTAGCTTCTTTCAACAACATTTAAGCCTAGCAACAGATCACACACATCTACCTTTCTGCATTTGCATATCTTTAAATTACTATGCCCATTTCCCCTTTCTCTTCAGTAAACATGCTAGAAAGGCACACAAATCCATCTGCTTGCTCTAATGTTTCACCAGTGTTAACAACAAATGTGATGGCAATTGCTCGCTCCATCTCCTCTGCCACACACAATCATCTTGGTCTTTAATGCTGTAATTGTCAGACTCACAATCTTTGTTGTATCACATAATCTATCTAACATTCATGGCAAATCATTTGGGTTCTCAATTTACAGCATAGCATCACCCTCATGAAAAAAATAATAATAATACAGAGACCGTCAATACTAACAAACAAGCATTCCCAATACATTTCTATGAAAACATTAACATTATAGAATATCACATATGAATAACCTTCTGCTTAAAACAGTGTTTAATACCAACCTGTTCCTAAGGAGATATTCATCAATCATAATACAGTGGTACCTTGGTACTCATTGTTAATAGCCTCCCACCGGCCAGTTCACTCCCACAGAGAGGGCCTCTTCAGGGTGCCGTCAGCCAGACAATGTCGGCTGGCGACCCCCAGGAGGAGAGCCTTCTCTGTGGTGGCACCTACCCTTTGGAACAATCTACCCCCAGAGATACGAGTGATCTCCGACCTCCGGACTTTTCGTCGGGCCCTAAAAACTTATTTTTTTCAGTTAGCCGGTCTGTCCTGATTTTAGGGTTGGTTTTAAAATTTGATACGGATTTTTAAATTGATAAGTTTTGAATTTCGGGCCAAATTTATTTAATTATTTTAAATCTATTTTTAACTTTATGTATAAATGTTTTTTATCTTGGCTGTTCACTGCCCTGAGTCCGAAAGGAGAAGGGCGGTATAGAAGTTTGAATAATAAATAAATAAATAAATAAAATTGGTTCTGGGATGTGCAATTAGTACCAAAAACATTGAGTACCAAACACATTTTTCCCATAAAGAATTACATAATGAGTCACAAGGCCACTGACAATGACAAGTTCTAGTTTCTGCATTGAGTACCAAACAAACGATGAGTGCCAGGACAAAATTTTCACATCAAAATGCGTTGACTACCAAATTCGACTAGTTTCTAAGTAGTTGAGTATCAAGGTGCCATTGTAATTCTCATTAATTCTACGGTCTCTGAATAGTCTGACCTTTTCCTTGTTCTTCTCTATCCCTTCTTGTTACTTAACAGAGTTTTGTTCCCTAATGCCACTCATTACTTTAGTTCACAATGCTGCACGGTTTTCCCTAAACTCACCTCTAGTTCCTTCATCATGACCATTCGCTATTGAAATGCAACTATTTTCACACCCAGCCATAACAAACTAGATGCACTGCAGTTTTCTAGGATACATTTTAGCCTTTTCATTCATTAGAAAAATTTTGCTTCTCCGTACATTCCTCAACTCCATTCTAAAAGATCAGGTCACTTCATTTATATATTTTACATCCTTCCCCTTTCTCTTAGTTGCACACTCACACAACTCTTTACATTTCAAATCAGAATTTTGATATGGCACCAATGTCCCCAGATAGGCCCATAACAGCTTTGGTTAATTAAGGCTTTTACATAATGCATTTTTAGTAAGACAGAGAAGTGTAGACTAATATCCCAGATGAATGTGGACAAATGCCGCATTCCATGCTAACAGTAAGCATAAGTCCACTCAGTTTTGGCACAATTTGGCCCTAATGCTATATGATGAATCAAAGCTCAGTTTTACCCCTGCGGTTTTATTCCATTTTACCTTCAAGTTATCTTTCTTTTTATATGAATCTTTTTACTGTGCTTCTGTTCTATGCAATTTACCAATTTCTTGAAATGACACAATTTTACAAGGCAACCTACAATCACCTGCACCCCAACTAGAAAGCATATGTAGTGTAGAGACACTTTCATACAGATATGCATATACAAACACATGTCCGCAAAAGAGCTGGCTTTGTCCAGGAAAAAAAAATGCCATTTGGTCCCGGTCCAAAGGAACAAAATGTGTTGTGTTACCCGAAATTCTCCAGATCGCACCAACGTTACTCTCCATTGCTGCAACGGATGGAGATTTCTCCCCGCCCCAGAAATAAAGGCTCAGGTGGGCGGGCATTATAAACAACCACCAAAAAAGTGAACGTTCAAAAGGAAAACATCTTCCCGGTTCGGTCCGAAAAGCAAAAAAAAGACCATAAACAAATAAGAACTCCCGCTTTGGCCAATGGCAGTAGGGCAGGAAGGTATCAAGGGCGTCCCCGGAGCCAATCAGAAGAAGGCAGGTAGCTTGTGAATGGGGAAGGCCGGAGAGGGAGTAGCCCGCGCGGCGATGGGTGGGGGGTAATTAATAAATACGCAACGCGTTCCGTCGAAGGCGATCGGGGTTGTCGATCAAGGCGGGCCCGGAGAAGATCTTTGGCGAGCCTGGCGGTGGAAGGCGAGAAGACAGAGCCGAGCGAAGGAAGTGGTGGGAGGGGCGCGTTGTCAGGCAGTTCTGCTGCAGCAGCTGAGGAGAAAGTAACTTTGCAAAGGCGAGGCGAGGCGAGGCAAGGCATGGCCGCAGTAAGAAACCCGGGGATGATCCGTCTCTGGGGCCAGGCGCGCCGGCTTTGAAGTCTCCCCGATTTGCAAAAGCGGGGAGATCGCTGGCGGCTCCCCAAAAAGGAAAGGGGACGCCCGCGGCACAGAACAGCACGGCTGTCCCCCCCCGCCCCCACCCGTCGCAAAAGCGCAGCCTTTTCGCGCACCGCCAGCGTCGGCGGATCCGGAGAGAGCGAAGGCGCTCCGCTCGAGCGGCGAAGGGAGGAGGCGCTGCGCCGTCGAGGAGCTTCGCCCCCGCCGGCTTTTTCTGCAACCTTCGCCCGGCTCGGACCTCCGGCTCGGCTGTGACCGAGTCGTTCCGTCAAGGGAGAGCCTAGGCTTCCGCCTCTCGGAGTTCGGTCCGACGACAGCAAGGCAGGGAAGGGAAGGGAAGGAGCGCCGAGGAGCGCTCCAAGCCGCTCGGGGAGAAAGCATGGAGAGCGCGCACAGCCTGACCGCCGAAGAAGTCCTGCGGCGTTTCGGGGTGCGGGAGAGTTGCGGACTCAGCGCCGAGCAGGTCCGACGGCACCGGGAGAAGTACGGCGCCAACGGTAAGGGGGCTCCAACAACCCTGCCTAGGCGCCCAAGCTCGCCGCCTTGCGCGGAACGGCCAGGGGTGGCTGGTGGGGCCAGGGAGGAAGAGAGGGAGCAGGATGGTCGCTTCGGACAGTGCCGGGGATGTGGGGGGGGGACTAGCAGGGCGCGGATTGTGGTCGTGGTGGTCCTCAACCGCTGCACGCATGGTGCATGGAGCTTCACGGGTTTAGGCGGAAAAAGGAAATGAATCGCTCTCAAATAAAAAGAACGAGCCGTGTCGAACAGTCCAGGGTCAGGCAGCATCACTTTTCCCACGGTGGCCGGCCGGCCGGCAGCAGAAATCCCACGGGCACGCGAGAAGTGGGGGGGCGGCAGGAAGCGGCTGCTCTTTGGCATTCGGAGGGAATTTGCCCTTAACTCCGGTTTCTGATCGCAGTCGCGTCGCATCTCCGAGCCCCGTTACCTTTCAAAGTCTGGCCTCGTGAATTTCGGGAGTGGGGTGTCCCCTCGAGACAACTCAAGGGCCGTTTAATAAACAGGACTTAGCTGATGGTGGCCATGGTAGCCGACCGAATGTGTTCTGGAAGCAGACAGAGGCGATAGCGGTGGTGGTGGTTTCCGCTCACCCCTGTGCCTCATGTTTACAGATACACTGTCTCTTTCCACGGAAGCTCCCTTTTTAAGTATCTCGGTAATGGATAGGAGGAACGCTGAGGTAAAGCCGTCGTTCAGTTTCATGGGCTTCATGTATTGTGTGAATCCAATCGTTGCTCTTTAGAAACCACCGTCTATGGGACGTCGATGGAGATTCTCAGTCCTCCAGGTCATAGTTGTCCCAAACTTGGTGCTTTTTTCAAGAGGCAACTGGACTTTCTGGGGTTTTTTTTGAAGATGTTTCCCTTCTCATCCAAGAAGCTTGAAGAGCTAAAGAAGCTTCTTGGATGAGAAATGAAAGGTCTTCAAAGAAAAAAAAACACAGAAAGTCTAGTTGTCTCTTGAAAAAAGTACCTTTGGGGCAACTCATTGTGGTTTACTCCAGGAAACCATAACAAAGCCAAGTATGGCTTAGTGCAGAGGTCTTCAAACTTGACAGCGTTAAGACTTGTGGACTTCAACTCCCAGAATTCTCCAGCTAGCATAGTAATTCTCCACCTAGCATAGCTGGAGAATTCTGGGAGTTGAAGTCCACAAGTCTTAAAGCTGTCAAGTTTGAAGACCTCTGGTTTAGTGCAATATGTGAATTGAGAACCCTGAAAGATCAGGGCTCATGAGATATTTGGGTGGGGAGCTGTTTGTTTGTTTGTTTGTTTGTTTGTTCAATATTTATAAAGAAGATTTTCAGAATTAAGAGAAGAAGAAAGAGGGGAACAAGATCTCCTCTAGCAAACAAGTGAATCAGGACATCTGAATAACAAGAATATGTAGGCAGCAAATTGGGATAGCAAGATGGTTATAATGCTTGCCTTGTAAATAAATAGAAGGTTGCTGACTCAAAACCCAGAAGAAACTCTGAATGCCATTGTGGTTAAGGAGTTGGTCAAGAAGTGGATCCATGGAAACTACCTGCCTAACTTTGGGCCAGGCACTTTCTCTTAGCCCATCCTTCCCCACAGGGTTGTTATGGGGAAACATAGATCTTGTGTGGTGCTTAAATAGAAGTACATATCAAATGCTAAATATTTAAGAATTATGCAGAAAAAAAGGATAATCCTGACCCTAACGTTTGAGGCAGTATTTCATCAACGGAAAGATATTTCCCAGGTACTAAACCCTTTTTAACTGGGGATGAATAGACTTGAACTCTCTGGTCTTCTATAGACAGAATTGCTCCTTAAGCCTGCAGTTATCCTGCCACTCCTACAAGTGCCCATTTCTCGTCTGTTTTTGGAATTGTAGGTTGCTAAGAGAAATAAGTTTTCTTCTTTTTTTGCATGACCTAAGTGCAAACCCATCCAGCAGCTGCTTGCAAGATACTGCAGCATGGACTATGATCTCTGTCAACCTTCCCAACCTACCCGCTTCAAGATGCTATGGGATTACACTGCCCAGAGTCCTACATGGGTTGTCTGGGAATTATGGGTATTGTAGTTCCAACACATCTGAACAGCTGGGTGGCTAGCTTCGGTTCTGCAAAAGCTCTCCACTTTTCTCTCCTGAGATCAGTGAAGATGAGTTTGTTTTTGGATGAAAAGAACAAGATTGGTGGAGTGACCATATTTTCCTCTTTAAAAAGTCAAGGGGGGAGGTTCATTGAAAAGCTGAATGATGTATCTGGAGGATATGAAAGTTCAGTGGATATGAAGCTAACTTTTACATGAGTATGCAAAATGGGTTAATGAAGAATAGAGAGTTGGAAGGGACCTTGGAGGTCTTCTAGTCCAACCCTCTGCTCAGGTAGAAAACCCTATACCATTTCAGACAGATTGTTGTACAATCTCTTCTTAAAAACCAACAACTTCTGGAAGAAAGTTGTTCCACTGATTTAATTGTTCTAACTGTCAGGAAATTTTTTCCTCAGTTCTTGGTTGCTTCTCTCCTTGATTAGTTTCCATCCATTGCTTCTTGTCCTGCTTTCAGGTGCTTTGGAGAATAGTTTGACTCCCTCTTCTTTGTGGCAGCCCCTGAGATATTGGAACACTGCTATCATATCACCCCTAGTCCTTCTTTTCATTAAACTAGATATACCCAGTTCCTGCAATGATTCCTCAAATGTTTTAGCCTCCAGTCCCCTAATCATCTTTGTTGCTTTACTCTGTACTCTGTACTCTAATGAATTTGAGGGAAGCTTGGTGAGGTTCTTTGCAGTGAGGTAAATCAGATTGTCAACTCATTCTGGTCCAACATTACTTACATTGATGTAACAACAGTCCAGACAACAGGCTTTCCAACTCTTTCCATGTCAAGGCCTTTCATTGGTTCTTTTGCAACCTTTTGCAACTTTCCCCTCTGAATTTGCACCTCCAAACTATGGAAGTGCATTGCCAATTTTTTTTCCTCTGCCGCTGTGCCCTCACTCTGCCAAAATAAAGAGTCAGTGCAGAAGGTTGTGAGAGTCGATCGCCATCTTTCCCACAATTAAGCCTATCAATCCTATTCTTCAAAGTGGGCTAAAACTGTATGGCTGACATTTGATTTAAAATGTCTGAATGTGGATGCTATAAATTGAGACCCTTTTTTTCCTGGAGGCGAATGGAAGTGATTTTTCTCCCTCCACTTCCTTGCCTTTAACCTCCACACCCCTCTTGTTTATTCTCTGGAAGCTGAAATGACAAACGCCCCCCTCCGCCCCCACACACAATTCTTGTCACATATAATCCTCTATACAAGGATTGTTAGGATTAAATTTTGGAGACCTTGAGTTCAAGTCCTGTCTTAGTTATGAAAGCCAGCTGGGTGACCTTGGGCCAGTAACTCTCCCTCAGCCCAATTCACCTCATAAAGTTATTTGCTGTGGGGAAAATAGGAGGAGGAGGGTGTGTTGGATATGTCCTCCACTTTGAGTTATTTGTAAAAATAATAAAGGCAGAGTACAAATAAAAATAAAAACTCCTTTTTTCAGGTCTAGAAATCCTGTATGGTTATCCTCTCTTCTGTGAGCCACAAAGAGTCCTAGGGAAATAGTTTCAAAAATCTTCGAAGGAAATTCTTTAATAGACGTGGCACTGACATTTTTCTGTTTTTACAAAACTTTTTTGCAGTTTTCAACAAAAGTTCCCTTTTCCTACCTTAGAAACCTCAACTTCCTTATTGGTTCCATGCTTCTTTTAATCTAAGAATGCTTCAATGCGTCTTTGGCCCCTGCTGGATTTCGTTGGCATATTTCATTGCCACATTTAAGCCATTTTATTTCTCTGTTGGCAAGACTCTTCCCAAGCCAACCCTTTTAGGGCAATATTTTATTTCAGCTACATTTTAGCTGGTCAAGAAAACTTCAGTTGCCCTCCCCACTATCAGTAAGCATTCAGCTTAAAGAAAGTTGGTTCCTCAGCAACCATCATAATATAATTAGAATATTTATAACATATCTAAATTAGGCTTCATTAAATCCATGATGGTCAATAGGAGAAAAAAGAATTGTAGATGGGTAATAGCTACACTTCTCAAAACCCTTTCTGCGAAGTTTTGGAGAATTCAGAAACTTGCAAATCTGGTTTCTAGAAATCAGCTGTAGTGGTCTTTTTCGGGGGTGGGTGGGATGGCTATTATGATGCCTTACAAATTAGCTAATTTTTAAATTATGTATGGGTGAACCCCAGAATTTATAAAATTCCTATACAAGTCTGAATCTTAGACCAAACTAGAAATACGTTTTTGAATTCAAAGTATAATTTTTCCTTATGTAAATGGCATATATTCATAATGCTGGAGATCCAATAACTGTAAAGAAGCAATTTATTTTCCCCCTGCCTTGATCTTCAGGAAAAAAAGAAAAAAAAAACTTCTAGTAACACTGGAATTTAATTAAAAAGAAATCCTCCCCCCCCCCATTTTCTAACTGATGTTTTTTAGGTAAAAGTTAAACCACAATGAAGCCTTTTCTTTGATACAAACTTTCCCTGATGGATTTGTGTATCAATACTTGGCATAAAAATCATACTGTATCTGTTTAATGAAGTTCTCATTTAATGTTGTTAATCTTCATTTTGGATCAATTAACAAAGGTTTTATGGAGGCGCAGAATTGGTCAAGTGGCTCATCGTAGTTTTAATTGCTGTTTTTTTTGAGTGCATTCTTGAGTGAATATAAATCAGGAATCTTCTGAACACTTTTTCCCCCTGTGTCCTTAAATGTCTGGGTACTTTTATAAATTTAATAAATAAATAAATAACTATTTTTTCTGGTGTATTTTAAAGAGTTATAGATGTATAGAGAAACCCTATCCTTATTTCCTAGATATTCCTCGAGCAGTCTTCAGCAGGGTTTTTTGAATTATGTTGTGTGAGCGCATCCAGGGCCGGATTTTCCTATAGGCTAACTAGGCTTCAGCCTAGGGCCTCAAGATCAAGAGGGGCCT